TGCCCAGATGTCTTTCTTGGTGAAGTGTCTGTTCATGTCCTGTGCCCATTTTTTAATTGGGTTATTTGTCTTTTTCTTGTAGAGGTGTTGTAGTTTCTTATAGATTTTAGACATTAGTCCTTTGTCTGATATGTCATTGCAAAAGATTTTTTCCCAATCTGTGGCCTTCCTTTTTACTCTTTTGATGCAATATTTTGATGTACATAAGTTTCTAATTTTTAGTATGTCCCAATCATCTATTTTGTCTTCTTTTGTCGATACAATTCTTGCAATGGTTGATACTCTATGTGTGTCCTGTATTAGAGCCCTTAAGTCACATGACTTTTGCCAGCCCCTCTGTTTGGTCCTTCTTTGAGCTAAGGAGATTCAGAGGAAATCCTTTATGGCTCTACTGAATTCGTCTGGTCTATTCGTTCAAAAGGGAGCAGTTCTCACTGCCTGAGTGCACCCTGTTGGGGTGTGGGGAAGTTGAGGGTATATAGTACTAACAATGTTGTTAAGTGCTGTTGAGTTGGTTCTGATTCATAGTGACTCTGTATAGGATTATTGAGGCTTTAAATCTTCGTGGGAGCAGAAAACAATTTCCATTAATTGAACGCCTCTTCGGTGACACTCAGTGTGCCTGAGTAAGCATTTACCCACATTGTTTCAGTTAACCCACATCACAAGTTTGCAATGTAGATATCATCCCTATTATATGGAGTCTTGGTGTGGCACTGTAGGATAAGCACTGGGCTGCTTACCATAAGGTTGATGGTTAAAACCCACCAGCGGTTCCCCAGAAACCCTATACTGGGTTACTATGAGTTGAAATCAACTTGATGATACTTAATAACAACAACATACAGATGTGGAAGGTGAGGTTCAAAGACCAGATCGCCTATAATTGTCTATAGAGCTTCTAGGCCCATGTTCTTCCCTCTGTACTAAGTTGCCTTCCTGAGAAGGAAGCATTTGAGCTAGGTCTTAGATGATGAATATTTGTGTTTCTTGAAAGGGAGAGGAAGCTATGTAGGGAGAGGGAACAGCATGTGCAGTGGCTCAGAGTTCTGTGAAATTTGTTGTATTTAGGGAATATTTCTTCCATCTGGAGTAATGAGTAGCCAATGTGACCTGAGATGTTCGTTGAAGTTGGAATATGTGTGACTTGAAATGCTCTGCCAAGGGCCTAGGCTTTGTTAGGCAGGACTGGAGATGGGAGGTGGGGCCTTTAAGCTCAATGCCTCCCTGAGCTGTGTGGTGACTGACTGGATTGCAGGCTCGGAGTTGGTGTTCATCATCCAGCAAAAGCATCTG